AAGAAAGGGAGCTATAAACATGCTTATCCCAAAGGAGCTTACAAGGTAGCCTTTTGCACTTTGGGAGGCTGAAGCAGGTGGATCACCTGAGGTAAGGAGTTCGAGACCAGCCTGGCCAACATGGTGAAACCTCATCTATTCTAAAAATACAAAAATTAGCCGGGTGTGGTGGTGGGCACCTGTAATCCCAGCTACTTGGGCGGCTGAGGCAGGAGAATTACTTGAACCCAGGAGGCAGAGGTTGCAGTGAGCCGAGATCGTACCACTGTACTCCAGCCTGGGCAATGGAGTGAGACTCTGTCTCAAAAAAAAAAAAAAAAAAAATACTGGCTTAATAAATAAAGTACAATATTACACACACTTGCACATACACAAATAAATGCATGCACACACAATCCCGTCCCCACCCCAATTTGAAAATAACAAATCCCATTTTTGATTTGGAAGTAACTTTACTCTGAATAGGAGATGTCCACCTCAGGAAGCAGTCACATTGCCCATGTTGCTTTGTTTTGTAGTTACCACATTACTTGGAAGTTCTTACTTCAGAGCTGTGACATCAAGAAAATCTACCTCTGATCATGCCAGGATTACTGAATGTTAAAATCAGACTTAAATATCACAAAACATTTTTATGTCTGCTCCCCCCTCTCAACCACACACACAAATAAAAATTTTCACACATTCAACTATATACCTTCTTATTCAAGCAGTCTCTTTGCATAAAATGAATGGAAACTCATGAAGCCAATCATCTGAGACTTGGAAATCAGAAAGCTGAGATTATAGGGAGAATTTTTGGGTTCTCTTTTCCATAGTTTGTTTTGTGATGTTATAGATGGTAGAAAACAAAAGGGAGAAGGTGCCAGGAAAATATATGTGTGAACAAGTAAGTTTATGTTTGAGGCATAATTGTAAAAAGTATTATTTGTGGTCAGAGATGCTGTTGCTAATTCTATAATTTTCTATGCTATATTTCCCCATGTGAGCAATTTACGTTGTTGTCCTTGGCCCTTTATGCAATCAGTGTAAACGGACTAGCAGAGTTTCTGGCCCTAAACTAAAGCTTATTTATACTTAAATCAGTGATTCCAAACTTTAAATGTGTAACATGATATTAATTTTGTAACATCAATGGTTTAAAATTTCAAGATATTTATCTTACTTGTATTGAACAGTTCTCTTTAAAGAAATCTTAGAGGGATAAGTGTCTTATCTGTTTTTTAAAAGATCAGCTTGCAATCTTCTGCTTCAACTGTATCTGTAGTAGAATACAGCATTATTTCTAATTTTATTTGGCAATATAAAAATTTAGTATGTCTTTTGGTCTCCATTTATATAAGCAGCATCGAAGAACAAGAGTGTTTGCTGGTTATACAGTGTTGAGCATAGCTCTTTTACTTTGAATATTTAGAGGTTATGTGATTTTAATCCAGGGGACAACTTTATACTACTTCACTAGCAGAAACACTACTGTTATTTTTACTGACCTATCAATACCACCAACTTAATAGTAATAAAAGCTAGTATACATAGAGTTTATTATGTATCAGACAACAAAATATGTACAACTTTTATATTTCGAAATAAAAGTAGGTAATACTGTATTCTCTTGTAGACTTGTCTGAGGCAATTTCACACAGATTTTTTAAAACATAAAGACACTATAAAAGAATTGTGGAGTACATATGTTCAAAGTATCTATCAAGAGATGCAGAGATGTTAAGTACCTTCCTAAGAGCTAGAGATGAATCTTCCTCTCCTCTTTGTACCACGTTTCTTTTGCCTTCACTATATTTTACAATGAGTGGTATGTAGCCAGTCTAGTGGCCATGCTAGGATTTCAAGCCCAGCAGTCTGGCCCCTGAGTATATGCACTTCACATCAAAGCTGTACATTCTTCCAATTCAATTATTTATATTTCCATCCTTCATCACAGAATTTACTAGGAGTAGCTTGCTTTAATAATCAACATTACAAAAAAGGCTGTTTTGTTTTTGTTTTTGTTTTGCAACTTTTCCACTAAAAAGTTCCTATTATAGTAACATTTGGTAACTTTTTTTTAGAATGTTCTTGAATACATTTGTTCAAAGACCTGAAACTTAAGTTACTACATCAAAAAGTAGTAACTCACTGAACAGTCTTTCCTGGTGCCATCAACACTTGACTTTGTATCACCTGTCAAAAGTGAAACTCTTTCCCCAATTGTCAGTAGTTTTTCCTATAACATTGTTTCATCCAGACAGTGGTAACAAGAAGTATATCCACATTTGATTAATCTCATCTCATCTCCTTTGCCCCAGGATGTCAGAGGAAATTTTAAACATTGCCAATGATTATGCTATTAAACAGTCAGAAGACACCATTCTTTTACTTGTCAAAAAAAGCTAGTTTAATATGGCTTTATAAATTAAGTCTGTCATAAGTCTTCAAAATTATAAGAACTAAGTCTTCCATTACTCTGCATAGATTATCCCTTGCAATAATTATATTACCAGGCAACTGCATCTAAACTCTGGAAGGAATTAGTGTATAATCCTGTAGGATCTATCAGGAAACTGTTTTGGGATACATCTTGTTGATAATATAACAATGTCCTTCTTAAATTACGTTTTTCAGCATTTTAAATTTTATATTTAAAGTTTTAGGTTAAATTAGTCTTGTAAAGGTTACCATCTGAATGCTGTGTTTATTAGAGGAAACTACTTGTGTTCTTTTGTCACCAATGAATTTTTTGGTCATATTTATTTAATATATATTTAATGTATATCAGTACACAGGCACACCCAAGGTATACAGTTTGCAAAGAATGGATGTTAGATTTTGATCACAAAAGGTGTTTTACAAAGATAAAATTTGTTGAGTTGTAAAATATTTGTTGGAGTTAAAATTCACCATCGAGATGATGATGATTTTTCTTTAGAAGCAAATAATTCCAAATATGAATGTACTTACATAGGTAATAACTTTTGTTATCATAAGCTCATCTACATTAATCCAACATCTAGGACTTTAACCAGTTTTTATATTCAGCTGATTCTAAATGAATTTATTCCTGGCATAGTCCTTTACTCCATATAGGCGCAGCTCTGAACCAATTCCAGGATTCAGTTCAGAACAGTTACATATTTAATGTATTATGTGAAAAGCCTATAGGATTGGGTTCAATATTGACAATATTCCTATTCTAAGAATATTAGACATTATTTCTATAATTTCTATTCCTTTTGACATTCTTTTCTGTTTAACAAAGCAGTATTCCTCTTACAATGTTGTGATAAATTCAGATTTTTATAAGACTTGTTCTTTCTTCCTCCCAATTTTAAAATTATTTCTTGAAAACTATTATTTTTCATAGCTATTTGCCTCTAGAAGCAATTGTTCATAATCAAGGCATATTTTCCTTTGTAAAAATTCACAACTGTGAAGACAAAGTTTCCCAGTGAGTTAATAAATGGGCATTTGTCAGAATTCTCTGGGGTCAAAGACTGAGTTTTTTGTTCTTAGTGCTAATAGAACCAAATCACCTGCATTTCAGTATTTAACACGTTGGAAAGCCAAACCAACTTAAGGTCTTCTTTTTTTGTACTGAGTAATTTGAAAGTGAAAGCTTTTTGAAGCATGCATTCAAAGTAAAACGCATCAGCAGCATTTCCTAAATCGTGTAACTTTACTCAGTCTGTTGAACTGGCAAATGTGAGGCCGTTTGCTATGCCCACCAATTTCTTTGTGTTAACTCCCCTTTATTGCTATTCTTTCCTTATTAATCATCCTATTCATAAAAATCCCATGATTGGGGAAAATGAACCCGTTAGGGAAACTCACTGCTATCAGTCTAATCCAAGCCTCTATCAATAACTTTCTTACTGGTATACCTGATTCTACCTTGCCTAGCTAACTATTATGTGTACCATGAAGATACTGAAGCCAACCTGCCTAGGTTTAAATCCAACTCTGCAATAGTTGTATTGCCAGTTCCTTAAAAAAAATGGTTTAAGAGCTTTGAAATGCTAAATAAGGTCGTCATGCACATGTCAACTAGAGCAGCCCTTGTAAAGTGTCAGACGCTAATTCTTTGGTTGACCTCCTCTAAATAACTGCACACTTAAAAAATAAATAAAATCCGAACTCCTTACTAAGGCCTATAAGTGTGCTTCTCATTTTATTCCCCATGTTTCAGTTATACTGTACTTGTCTCCAGAGATACTAAGCAGTTCTACTTCAAGACTTTTGCACTTGCAATTCCTTCTTCCTGGAACATCTTTTCCCAGATTTTTGTATTGCTCACTTCCTCAGGTAGCTGCTCAAATGTTCAGTCCTTCTTCGTCCCAAATAGCACACCCCCAGCACACATATCCTCAAGTCAATAGTCTCCTGCCTCATTTTTTCTTTTTCTTTTTTTGCTATAAAGCACTCATTGCCACTGACTTTATAATAGTTTAGTGCCTCTCTCTCCAAACTGAAAACAAGCTCCTGAGCACAAGGATTTTATTTTGGTCATTCCTGTAGTCTCAGCACCTAAAACACCACTTGGCATTGGTAGTTCTTGGTAAATATTTGCTGAATAGATGCTGTATTTAAAACGTTTTTTTTCCCCCTAAGGACTTTTGAGAGTCTTAACTTAATATGCTTGTTTTTCATAGTATGCACCTAACATTTCCTACTCCCATACTTTCACTTGATCCAGATCCTCTCATTAGGTCACCACTCAAGAAATACCAACTTTGGGCTTTTAGAAACAAAGAGTAGGTTCTTGTTTGCAAAGGGTAAACAAGCACAACAAAAAATGTTGATACTGTTTTCAAAGGAAGTTTTAAATACTATTAGTGAATTAAATTCTAGACAAAACAGCCATATTTTTCAAACATTGTTTTTAATATATCTACCTATAAAGATCTGTGGAGAGTTCACATCAGATCATGAATGGGTAGTACTTTATGATTAGGGCATATATACACACACTCAGAGTTACAATTAAGCTTTTCTTTTTTCTCTTACAGGTTAATGACTCCAGAGAGTAAGATCAGATTTGTCCACAAAGAGATGGGCATAATACCAAGCTGGGGTGGCACCACCCGGCTAGTTGACATAATCGGAAGTAGACAAGCTCTCAAAGTGCTGAGTGGGGCCCTTAAACTGGATTCAAAATACGCTCTACACATAGGAATGGTTGAAGAGGTCTTGCAGTCTTCAGATGAAACTAAATCTCTAGAAGAGGCACAAGAATGGCTAAAGCAATTCATCCAAGGGCCACCGGAAGTAATCAGAGCTTTGAAAAAATCTGTTTGTTCAGGCAGAGAGCTATATTTGGAGGAAGCATTACAGAATGAAAGAGATCTTTTAGGAACAGTTTGGGGTGGGCCTGCAAATTTAGAGGCTATTGCTAAGAAAGGAAAATTTAATAAATAATTGGTTTTTCGTGTGGATGTACTCCAAGTAAAGCTCCAGTGACTAATATGTATAAATGTTAAATGATGTTAAATATGAACATCAGAATTACTTTGAAGGCTACTATTAATATGCAGACTTGTTTTTAATCATCTTTTGAATATCTGAACTCATTTACCTCATTTCTTGCCAGTTATTCACTTGGGTATTTACTGCATAATCTGGAACATTTAGCTAAAATATACACTTTTGGCTTAAAAATTATTGCTCTCAATTCCAATAATAATTCTTAGCTTATAAGCAAAGAGCAGTGTTTAAAAGGAGAGCTTCTATACAAAACCTATTCCTGGTGTTACTTTTCATAAAATTTTGTCTTACCTGTCTTACCTGGAAATAATTTACCAAAATAATGAGTATTGCTATTAAAGAGCAAAAGTGGGGAGGGATCAGGGAACAAGAAAACAAGAAAGGATATGATCAATTATTTTCTTCTGCTCCAAACAGCCAGAGTAAAATTCATGGGAAATGGCCCTTAATTTAAAAAAAGATGTACCTCACTACCCACTACAAATTTGGAACTTTATTTGATCTTTTCAATAATTAGTTTTCTGTTATAAATTATCTACTAAACAGTGGTAGCCATGACATGGAAAGTCAACTGATTTTACAAATTGAACATTCATTTGTGTGCCCTGGAATTTCCAACTAGTAATAAACAACTACTGTTGATGTAGTTTTAAAATTAAAACCACTCGAAGGGACTCATGAAGCATCTTGCAACATAAATTTGCATTTTTACATCAGATTTCTTTTTTTTTCCTGAAAAACAACTAACCTTTTATAACTGTCTTTCAAAAGTAAACGTAAAAATGCACAACATAAAATGTTTATGATCATCCCAGAAATACACTTTTTAAAAAATGTGAAAGTCCAAGAATTAAGTTCTAGTTCTGACTCATCACAAGAGGTCAAAAGTATTTGCTACTGTAACATTCAATTCACATTTGAGAATCATGGTAAAAATAACTTGCATTTGCCTTATACATGATCCTACTGTTGAGTTCGGAAAATATGGTTAGACAGACTCACGTTACTTTTTTTCAGAGGTAAATTCTAGATTACTGTGTCAACCTAATATTTTCTATTTGGCCATAGATGTAAAATCTACCAAATAAAAGTGGATTTTGTGGTCTACAACATTTTGTTTAAAGTGAATTCATGTCTGCTAACACTGTAAGTCTGCCATTTAATCCAGAGTGTTAGACTACTAATGAATATGGTAAGGAAAATATAAAATATTAATGGTATCTGCTTTAATTTTATTTCCATATATATTTATTATATACACACTGCCTATAGGTTCTGTTTAATCTGTTAAATAAATAATCTCTTAAGAAAAAAAAATCAGACTTTTCTGGGCAGGTGATTTAAAGCTGAAAACAATCAATTAAAACTACCACTTTTTAAGTGACCTTTGGTCACAAACGTCAAAATGTTTCCACACCCTTTCCACACTCAAACAAGAGACAAATTGTTTTTGATAAACTCTAGTATTTATTAAATTATAAATTTTGTAATCAAAAAGAAAAATGCTGACCAGAAAAACCTCAAACTATAAGACTAGACAGCAAAGCCTATGGGAACGCCATGAAGTGTGTTACAAACATTCTGAAACATAAGTTACTGGCTGTTTTCATTTCCATATCAATAACTTTACTATAAAATAGTAGTTATTCATCTATTTTGAAATCCCAAATTCACATCTATTCTTACATTAAATTATGCTTCCTGCTCATAATATCAAACATCTCACAGGTGCCAAATTTTAGTAATGGTCTTATGCCAATCCATGCAGAAAAATAAGACACAATGCAGGAGTCAGATGAGGACCATTAATGCACAGATAATACAAACACACTGGCCAAAAGAACTACAGAAGTTTTTAAAAACTATAAAGTAAACAGACCTCGAGAAAACTGGGTTATTACTAAACAGCTCTCAACTATTAACACCCAAGTTCCTTACATTAAATAAATTTCTCAACAGAGACATGTTAGACATTTTGATTACGGGTCTATCCTTCCCATACCCCTTCCCACCCCAACTCCCAAAATGCACTACTAGGGATGAGTATAATGTTATGCGGGCAGAAATTTACAGGTAACCTTTTCAACCTTGAGCATGGAGCTGAAGACATTTTTATTTAAACTTCAGTTACTGTGCACTGTCCATCAGGCCTTCTAGATCTGACACTGACACTCACTGTTCCACCCCCTGCTACTGATCGATCAGTTCCCGATTGATCTGATCGATCGGATACTGTCTGGTTTGCATTAGAAACCAAAAGTCTCTGTTGGGTCAAGGAGTGCTGTGTAACAACTGCAGATGATACATTCTCACTATCACTACTGGCATCTGATTCAGTTTCTTCAATGGAGGTGTCTGGTGCTGGTACCCTGCCTGAAGATGGTGATTCATGATCTTCTTCTCCTTCTCCCCTATGACTCCTTTCAGCTATGCTGTCTCCACTGAGTTGTAAATGAGCAAAAGAGTCTTCCAGAGAAGTGCTTGCATCAGGGGATGGTGTTGCAGGGCTTGTTAACTGACCATCTACTGACGTTAGGGGCCTTACAGAAGACACTAGGGGCTGAACAGAAGCTCCACTCTGTGCTGATACACTGTCCGCTCCGTCAGCAGAGCTCTCTCTTGCTAGGTTTACGGTATTAGCATCACAGTCTAGCCTAAGTCCAGCTACTCCCTTCTTTGGTATATCTATTATATCTCGCTTAATCTTCCTGCGACGTCCATGTTCATTTCTCCTATATTGAACCATGTTTTCAAGATCAGCGACATACAGAAAGCCAGCAATTAACATTTCAGTGTTCTTTTTACCTTTGGAAAAAGCATCTTCCAGCTCTCTACTAGTGCGCTCATCGTACTGCCACCACCCATTTCTTCCTTCATAATACCATGCATATTCACCATTTCCTCTACTTGCTGCCTTGAGTTCTTCTGGTGACAACAAGGTTGGCTTGTCAAGGAAATCCTCGGGAATTTCTTGTCGACAAAGAGCACACCGCTTTCCAAGCCATGAAGCTCCTTTTACACATAGATAGCAGAAAACGTGCTTACAGGGCAGACTGACTGGATGAACACATGTTTGCAGACAAATGGCACATTCAGGGACGGTTAAAGAAGGTGCAGTATTAGAACAGGACTCGTTCGCTTTCCTGTTTGTAGGAAGCATGTTTATTGAATGATCAATTTCACCACAGCCAGCCATCCTAAGAAAAAATACATAAAATATTAAAGTCATGTTTTAATTCTTGCAATATCTTAATTCAACAATTATGAAAATACTAACCACCTATTATGTGCATTATATGCAAGCCACATTCTAGACAATGGGGATATGAAGATGAAAGTAGAAGAAAAACTCTCCAACCAATGAAAACGTTTTATAAGCATTTACTTGTACATACTTTGGGAATGTATAAAAATTCCATCAGTGCACTTACAGATCGGCCCTAGAGAAACACACTGAAGAACTATATAATGAAAAGCTGCATCCAGTGGAGGGAAAAAGGATCATGGCAGCTATTATACAGTGAAATGAACGCTAGACAAGAAATCTAAAAATCTGAGTTTTAGAGTTCTTTATTAACTATGTACTCTTAGGCATGCAGTTAAACCCTTAGTCTAAATTTCCTTACCTGCAAATCAGAGTTTACAAAGCTCAGGTAAAAATGGACAAAAAAAGTGCTTTGTAATCACTAAAGCTTCATAAAGGTAACAATCACATAAGACCAAGGGAGAAAATAACATGAATATTGAAGATGCCCTGAAGAGGAGGAAGAAAAAAGATTTGTCAAATTGGATGTATCCAGCTTAAACACTGACATAAAATTTATAATTTCTGCCTTGCTGATTCAGATAAACGTTTACCAAACTAAGTACTGATGGGTCTAATGATAAATAAGACACACAAGTACTCTGTTAAATAAGGAAACAAATATGCAGATAATTACAATATGGCCTGATTCCTGCATAATCAGAATGTGTTAACATACTTACAAAAATAACAATGAGAGAGAGAGAGATGAGAGGATGGACATAGGTTAGAAAGTTTAGTGTTCTTTCAGAGGGGCCTGGGCAGTGGAGCAGATTCCAGGCAGAGGCATGTGCAAGACACTGAGTCAAATAGTCATACAAGCAATGGAAGAGCAGGAGATGAAGGTGTAAAGATAATCAAAAGCCAAGTCATGAAAGCCTTATTGTGCCCTGCTAAGGAAACATTTAATTTTTTTTTCCCCATAGTTAAAAAAAAAAAAAAAAAAAATTAAAAGGGGAGAAAATAATAGAGAGAGGAAACCACTGATAAGTAAAAAAGACTGAGAAATGAAGATGAAGATGTCAGAGATTAAAGCTTAAAATGAATGACAATCTTTGTGCCAGCTAATTCTGCCATTCTAAATGGGTCCAGTAGTTACAAAAGATATAGTCACTAAGAATGCTTACGCTCATCAAAAATTGAAAAACAATAATCCTAGGCTATCATCACAGCACATCCAATCTTAATCCTTTTTTTTTTTTCTTTTTACTGCCTTTTCTGTGTTCTTGGTTCCTCAATAGACAAGGCTCAAAAAGATGGCAATTTTCTAGTAAAGGAAGCAACATATTAAGTTTTTAAAAAGATGGCACATATTTAGTAAAGGAAGCAACACAGTTTCAGTGGAAGAACTGATCACTAAAATGCTTAATTTCCAAATTATTTTCAACTTTTAATAACATTTCCAATCAATTCCTTTACCAAAAATTCTAGGTTATAGACATCAAGAAAGTACAACTTTTTCCTAACCTATGGAAAGTTCTAAGTCAGGGGTGTCTAATCTTTTGGTTTCCCTGGGCCACACTGGAAGAAAACGAATTGTCTTGGGCCACACATAAAATGCATTAACACTAATGATAGCTGATAAGCTAAAAAAAAAAAAAAAAAAATCACATAATGTTTTAAGAAAGCTTATGAATTTGTGTTGGGCTGCATTCAAAGCCACCCTGGGCCGCATGTCGCCCACAGGTTGGATAAGCTTGTTCTAAATAAACCCTAATAGGACGTCTTAGTATGTTAAGCACTATAAAAGCTTTCACATATTTTGAGATAAACACTTGCCTTCAAAGATCTTGTAACTTGAAACAACAATAAGTTACAAACTAAGGCATATGTTTTTTAAATAGCCAATTAACATTCCCTGCCTATTTCCTCCCCTAAAAGAATTGGCTGTGCACACATTTTGTTAGGTTTTCAGAAACTTTCATCCCTTTCAATTTAGGTCAAAAAAGTAAGTTTCCATAAAATTCCTGAAATTCTTTTTGTTCCAAGTTCCATATTTATTTAAAGCTCCAGTTAAGAAAAAGAACAAGAAAGCAATCCATTTACAAGTAATAATTTAATAGAGTCTACTCATAATTCTATTCATAAGACTAAATAGAAAAATGGGCTGATGATCATCATTACTTTGGAAAAACAGCAGCAACATCTTTATATAAGAAGTCTATATCTTAAACCATCTAAGTACCTTATGAACAAAGGACAGGCTCATAAATTTAAAACATAAATAAAAATAAAGTCTGGTAAAATGTAAACAAGATACCCAACATGTCACATGGACCAATGCCATGCTTTTAAATACGTAATTCCAAACCTATTGTATTTGTTTTAAGTAAAACTGGTCCAAGAAGTCAGTTTTCCATCACATACAGCTCGTTTATCTACAGAAAAAAAAGTTTTCAACCTAAAAACATTATCCTCCACCCTACTTAATATGATCAATATTTTGCATGACTCTTACTCTTGCATGTATGAATAAACCAAAACACGTAATTTCAAAACTAAGCAATTACAATCATCCCAGGAGAAGGCATGAATTGTAACAACAACACAATTGGAAAGGCAAAACAATTCGGTTTGTGCAGGTATTTTGGTTCTGTCATTAGAATGAAGTAAAGTTGGACAAAGTTAATCTGAAAACAATGGACACCAGACAGCTAAGTGGTCATTATTTCATCTGAAGCACTCTTAACTATCAATTTGCCATAGCAATTTATAAATTCTGATTCTGTTTAGCCCATCAAGTATCCTGTTAGTCTATCACCAACAAATGGGCAGAAAAACTTAGTAATATTTCTTCTTTAATTCT